AGCCCAACAGGGGGCGGGGCTGGCTGGCATGTGGTGCTGGAAGATTGAACCTCGGTCCCTGTGCTTTGCCAAGCTTGTTCCAAGTAGGTGCTTTAGGCCACTGAGCCATCTCTCCAGCCCCTAATATCACACTTTTTAAAGACATGTTTAGAACTATGTCAAAAGCATCAGAAACTTGAATCTTTGAAAACAGTTCTGAAAAAATCATGGGAGAATAATTTGAAAAGTGATTTTTGTATATGACGGTTCTGAAAACCAAAAATACAAGTTGCGTCTTGTTATGTTTCATAACTAACATGACTTCCAGCTTGAAGTATGAATGAGAACTTTTTTTTTTTTTTTTTTTAGACAGGGTCTTGTGTAGTTCAGGCTGGTAGTTGTCCTCCTGCCTTAGCCTCCTGCATGCTAAGATTATAGGCATTCATCACCTTGCTCATCTGAATGAGAATTTTAAATTTCCCTTGCACTGTTGCTGCATAACAAAGTTTTTTTTTCTTTCTTTCTTTTTTTTTTTTTTGAGACAGAGCTTCATTATGTAAACTAGGCTGGCCTTGAACTCACTGTGTAGACCTGGCTGAACTCAAACTTGCAGCAACTCTCCTGTCTCAGCTTTCTGAGTGCTGGGATTACAGGTGTGTGCCATCATGTTCGGTCCTAAAATAAATACATAAACAAATACATACATATATATACATGTATATTATATTTTATATATGTATGCATTTGTTTATGTATCTATTTTTGTAGTACTGGGATCAAACTCAGAACCTTGCTTACCTGCCAGGAGCTTATGCCATTGAGCTATATTTCCAGCCCCTTAAAATGTATTATAAAGAAATTATTTCAAAAAAAAAAAAAAAAGAAATTATTTCTAACATTGATTGTCATTGCTAGTCAGGCTATAAATCAGACTTCTAGAATTATATTGCTTTGTTGAAGCCCAGTTCTGTCACTTACTAGCTATGTTTACTTATTTAACTTCTGTGTATCTGTTTCTCATCTATAATGGGAGATAGTATTTACCTGGAAGTTGTTGGGAAAGTTACTTGTAGAACTATGCAAAGTGCGTAGAATGGTTTACAGCATCTACAAAGTACTATTTAAATGCTAATGGTGGCTACTAGGATAATTGTTAATTTTGGCAGATGCCAAGGAAGAAAGCACATGAGTGAAAGAAAGGAATCCTTCTTGAGAAACTTGTAGCTTGGGAAATGAAAATGGCATGGGTTAAAAAAAACAAATTTACAGGCTTTAGAGTCAGACAGGCTTCAATTCAGAGTATAGTTCTGTCTTTTTGCTGTACTGTCCATCCAGGCCAGCTAACTCACTAGATGCTCTCATTTTTTCCACTTGTGAACCGAGAATTACAATGCTGTACTTCTCTGCCAGGTGTCATGTCTCACTGCTAGGCAGATCTGATTTTAATTCAGTCGTCACCAAACTGTCCCATCAGTGGCTTGTACCACTTCTCAGGAGGGTCTTTGATTCCAGTAGTACAAAGACAAGGTGTTGATCTAGCAGGCCAGACGTCATCATTACAGTTCCTTAAGGAAAACATTAAAATAATACAAAAATTGTAATACAGCTAATTTATGAGATAACAGTTGTAAATGTTTATTATAGTATGTATACCAGCAGTGGCATAGTTGTAAGATTTCCATGTTAAAATTTAAAGAACTATTCAAAACCTATTCATTAATCCAAACCACTTTTAATTTAATTAAATCTGTTGATTATAGTTTTAATTGCTATTAATAGTATTAGCATTTATATTTGGGAAGTAATTATTCAAATTCAAGCAGCTAACTAGATTTGGTCCATTTTATAGACTTTCTATTATTTATTTATTTTTTTTTACTTTTAAAAAATTTTACTAGTAAAAAGACCAATGAAAGTGATTAGATTTGTTCATATCACCAGTGGTACAAGCCACCCAGTGGGACCATCACTCATGTACCAGGAGTGCTTCAAGCTGGTGGGAACATGTTAAGATATGTATAAACTATATATACATGTATAAAATGCCTAGCCCAAAATAGATGCTGAGAAAATGAGAGTCCTTTTTCTTTACTCCCCTCTTCTAATGCCTCTAGTAGTTTCTAGAGTTTGATTTGTTTTTTGTATGCCACCTTATTCATTTGCTTTTAATTTCAGAACACTAAAATTATTTCTATTATAGCAGAATGAACAGCAACTGTATAAGTTGGGTGGTTGTACCTTGAAAAGGACACTGTTACGTTTAATTTTCCTTTTCTCTTTACTGATTTAGATTGATTTCTCTACCATTATGGTAAATATAAGGGGGGTAGATTTTATTAATCATTCTTAGAACTGAACTAATGTGACACCTTAGAATCCTTCATAGTATTCCAAGCAGCTTTGATCATTGCGTCAGAGTTGATAAAGTAGTAAAAACAGTTTACTGCTTTGAACTTTCTTTATTCTTTTAAAATCCTGCTTTGAACTTTCCAGATGAAAATACCAAAATAATATTTGGACTGCCCATTACTCCCCTTTCTTGAGATGTGAACTTGTTAAACTTTATGACAAAGGAGGGTGGTCTTGTATCAAATACTTCTCTATTTCATAACATTGTTACATAATGTAGCCATACCTTCTAGAAGAGTGCAATGATTGTAAGAGTATAATGCAATGATTAAATGTGTGGGTTGAAATCAGTTGGAATGTGGTTTTATATACTCCAGATATGAGCCTCACCCCACTTTCATTAAATTAAAATCTTCGGGAGATTGTTACATTTGTATTTTGTAAAAGTACTCCACTTGATTCTACTCTGTGCCCCTTGTTGAAAGCAGCTAGAGGCCAGGCTTGGAGATGCATCTACTTAAAAGGTGTCCTACCTCTAAAATAAATTTAAAAGGGTGGAGGGTGTAGCCAAATTCTCCTTGTGTTCAGTCTCCACTAAAGCATGCATTTGTTTGCGCTTCTAGATACTGATAGGAGTATAGAGAATTAGGCATCGTCCCTCACTGTGAGTGCAAATCGGTAAGGATACAGCTAATAAGCTGAGTGTATTGGTACATGCTATTACTTCCAGTTATCTGGGAAGCTGAGGCACAAGGATCTTAAGTTTGAGCCCAGCCTAGGCAACTTGGTGATTTTGTGAGAGCCTGTCTCAACGTAACAAATAAAAAGACTGGGGCCAAGGATATAGCTCAATGGCAAAAGTGCCTGCCTGGCAAGTGCAAGGTCCTAAGTTTGATTCCTGGTACACACACTGGGAGCATATAGCTCAGTGCAAAACCCCATCTAATAGAACAGCTTTGCAGTATCCGTCAACATTTTGAATCTGTTCTATAGGAGTATATGAATGCACAAAATATAAATACAATTTCAAGAATTTTTGTTTAAAGACATGAGGATTTATTAGAGGTAGATATTTAATGCACTCAAGAGTAGAGAAATGAGACCAAGAGTGTGTTCTGGTGTTTTTGTTTTTGTTTTTTTGACAGAGTCTTGGTATGTAATTCAGGCTGGCCTTGACTCACTGTGTAGCCCAGACTGGCCTCAAACTCTGGCATTTCTCTTGGCTCAGCCTTTCAAGTGCTTGGATTATAGGCATATACTGCCACACCCAGCTGTGTTTTCTGTAAACCTGTTCATAATACTAAAAAGTTGTATGCAGCTAGTTGACTATCAGCATTCAAATGGTTGAGTGCATTATACTGATATGTTTACTCTTTGACCATTTCCTTTTTTTTTTTTTTTTTTTTGTGGCTCAACCCACCTTGGGGGCAGTGTTGGCGTGACATGTGGTGCCAAGGATCGAATTGTGGTCCCCTGCACTTGCCTAAGCAAGCGCTTTAGACCACTGAGCTATCTTGCCAGCCTCTTTGACCATTTCAAGGATAGTATATATAAAAATTGTATGTGCTGGTATAGAAATACATTCAGGATATATTATTAAGTGAAACAAGTAAGGATACACCCCCCCCCCTTTTCTTTCTTTTGGTGCTGGGAATTGAACTCAACCTTGTGCTTACCAGGCAGGTTCTGTACCACTGAGTTGAATCCCCCTCCCCAGACTTTTAAAATATGTAAGTAAACGTACAGAGAAAGATGTGAATAAGTACCCGCAAAAGTGTTCATAGTTGTCTGTAACATAGAAAAATGATGTAAGGGCTAGGCATTTTTACTTTTGTGTTTAAAATATTTGGAATAAAACTTTACTTTTTTATGAATTTAGGACAGGATGTACAGGGTATACAGGGTCTCACTATATAGATCGGACTTGTAGTGGTTCTCCTGTTTTCAGCCTTCCAAGTGCTGGGATTACAGGCGCGCGCCACCACGACAGTCTCAATCACCATCTCAGCATGTCCTGTGGGCAGGGCTGGCAAGCATGCCAGGGATGAACCCCCGCCACTGTGCTCTGCCTAAGCAGGCTCTTTAATCTCCTGAGCTATCTGGAAGCAGTCATAAGGATTTTTTTTTTTTTTTTTTTTGCTCCTTGAATGCCTTCAGGGCACTTTGGCATGGCTGGAGTGTTGTGGGGATCGAACTACAGCAAACTGAGGCTGCCAGCATTGTGGAAGCAGTCCTGAGCTATCTGGCCGGCCAGAACTCTATTTTTATAATACAGAGAATCACTGGACAAAGTGTGAATGATTTTAAAGGAAGTGCATATGGAAACCGATCTGTGTGTGTCAGGATGCTGCTTACTTTACAAATACCAATTTTAATCTTAATAATCTGTAAACTGAGAAACAGAAATGTCAAGAATGTTTTGCATGTTTGCAAAGTAAATAAAATTTTGTTAAAAATTGTAAAAATAATCAGGAATTTGAAACAGATAAGTATGTAAGATAAAATGTATTTGCTTTATGTCTTATGTTGGCCATTTGTTTTAAAAAGTATTTGTCTATGCATATCTATATATGAAAATTAAGTTCAAATGGTCTAGTTTAATTTTTTTAATTGATTAGGTTGCAGCATGCAAGGATATTATTACCTTTTAATTCCTTCTTTTCTAATTTTAGGCCCGATGAGAGAAAGGGACAGTTAAGGATGCTGGAGCAGAACAATGGATTTCTCTTTCTCTTTCATGCAAGGGATCATGGGAAACACAATTCAGCAACCACCTCAACTCATTGACTCCGCCAACATCCGTCAGGAGGATGCCTTTGATAACAACAGTGACATTGTTGAAGATGGTGGCCAGACACCATATGAAGCTACCTTGCAGCAAGGCTTTCAGTACCCACCTACAACAGATGACCTTCCTCCACTTACAAATGGCTACCCACCATCAATCAGCATGTATGAAACTCAATCCAAATACCAGTCATATAATCAGTATCCCAACGGATCAGCCAATGGCTTTGGTGCAGTTAGAAACTTTAGCCCCACTGAATATTACCATTCAGAAATTCCAAATACAAGACCACATGAAATTCTAGAAAAACCTTCACCTCCTCAGCCACCTCCTCCTCCTTCGGTACCACAAACTGTGATTCCAAAGAAGACTGGCTCACCTGAAATTAAACTAAAAATAACCAAAACTATCCAGAATGGCAGGGAATTGTTTGAGTCTTCACTTTGTGGAGACCTTTTAAATGAAGTACAGGCAACTGAACACATAAAGTCAAAGCATGAAAGTAGAAAAGAAAAAAGGAAAAAAAGCAACAAGCATGACTCATCTAGATCTGAAGAGCGCAAATCACACAAAATCCCCAAATTAGAAGCTGAAGAGCAAAATGTAAGTTAAAACACATTTTTGAAAAATTTTGTAATTTTTCTGATATACTAGAAATCGAAGAGATTTTTGTTAGCTTTTATCCCTTTAAATATGAGTATTCCTGGGGACTTCTAATGGCTAGCAAAATGCTTAAAATATTTATTTTTTTAAAATATTTATTTATGTGTGCGTGTGTGTGTGTGTGTGTGTGTGTGGCCAGCTCAGCCCACCAGGGGGCGGGGCTGGCCGGCATGTGGTGCCGGAGGATTGAACCGCGGTCCCCGCGCTTTGCCAAGCTTGCTCCAAGTAGGTGCCCCAGACCACCGAGCCATCTCTCCAGCCCCTTAAAATATTTATAAGGGTTTGAGTAAATATTTGTTGAACTAATGAATGGGCATCATTAAACTGAAGAACTATTTTAAAAATCATATAATACCAAGAATCTTGTTTATGTTTCTTTGTTTTAAGACCCTCAGTTATTTTTACTTGCTGATTTTTGAAGATGAAGAAGAAAGACACAAAAAAGTATTTTTCATTTATTTTAGACCAACTTTTACTGGTAGAACTTAGGTTTAACACTAATTGCTAATGTGTTTGCTACTTAATAAACTGATGTAAAAGAACCCTTTTTATCAAAACCAGAGTTTGTATTCATATGTATTGAGTAATACTTAAGGTGGTGTTTTATAAAAGTGATCCTTCATAGATGATTTCTTTGGGGTGCCGGGAACCAAACTCAGGATGTCATGCCTGCCAGGTAGGTGTTGTGCTGCTGAGCTATATCCATGGCCTATCCTTTTTTTTTCTTAAATATATTTACAAGGTCTCTAGGGTCTCACTACGTAGATCAGACTCGTAGTGATTCTCCTGTATTCAGCCTCCCAAGTGCTGGAATTATAGGCGTGCCCCACCATGCCCACTCTCAATCACTGTCTCAGTGTGTCCTGTGGATCAAACCCTGGCTGCTGTGCTCTGCCTAAGCAGGCACTTTAGTCTGCTGAGCTATCTGGCCGGCCCTGATATCCTTCATAGATAATTTAAAATGTATGGTGCTGATTTTTTAAATACTATATCTGCGTTTGGATGTCAAGTTGTTTGGCAATAATGTAATAATAATAATTGTGTTACATCCATTTTAACTTGAATACAGAGTTCATGATATGAATTGCAGCTGATTTTTAGACATTGATTTGGGAAGAAAGTGATATATGTTTATTAGCTAAGTGATGAATAAATTAGTTTATTTTTTGTTCAAACGTTTACTTCTTACTAACTCACTTTCCCTTGGTAGATGGGATTTGTTACTTCATACAACTCAAATGTGATCTTTTTTTGGAGTAAAGATCACAATGGTTCTAGGCTTTCACAGAATCAATTGTGGTGTTTCAACATGTTTTCTTATTGTTTTATCATTTTCTTACTCATTTAATGTATAATGATTTGATGCCTGCCCAGAGCTAGACACTGTTCTTAGAAGATATGGCAGTAAAAAATGAAAAACAACAAAAACAAACCAAGATATGGCAGTGAATGTCTTGTTTCCTTTTTTTTTTTTTTTGTGGAACCAGGGATTGAACTCAGGCCCTTGCGCTTTCCAGGGAAGCACTTATTCCACTGAACCATCTCCCCGGCCCCAATAGGGCAGTGAATGTGAAAAGCACAATTTTCACTTGGGGTGTTCTTGAGGGTACTCATTCCACTGGGGAGTGTGTCAGAGATAGGTAGCTTGAAAACTATAAAGACAGGAAAGGAATATAATGAGATAAATGATAATCAGGAACACCTCAGCTATTCTGATATCTTAGTTCTCCATGGGTGAGAAGAAGGCTTTAGAATCCAAAGATTGCTAAAGTGTGTGCCTCTTGTGTTCTTATGTCATTTATCAACTGCCTCCCAAAAAAACCTAGCCCACTGTATCCTTTATGACTGTCAAGTAAAAGTAAGTGGAAAGAGAACTTAGCTATGTGGACTATAGAATCATTGCAGTTGGCATTTCTTTCCTAGACTTGTAGTGAAAAGATACTGGCTTTGGGAATCAAAAAGATGGGTAAAACATGAATTTGCTTTAGCTTATTAGTGCTTAGAACTGTGTTGCTAGCCTGTCTTGTCTTTGCTATAGAGAATCTGGCAAATAGAAAAATAATCCAGTTTATTTATTAGATTAGGTTTTTTGCCTTTGTTAATAAAGTTAGACTAAACTAAATACCTCAAAATAGAAAGGGTCTGGAAGCTATGAAAGTCAAGATAAAACAGTCTTTTTCATGTCTTTCTGATTTATTAGAATCCAGGAAAAATTCAATGCAGTGATGTTTCTACTAGTCACTTTACAGTTAGATTGTAAAACCAGTCTGTCTTTGTTGGAAATCTGCCTGACTCTATACTTAAACCTTCAGTTAACTGTCATATCCTAAGATTTGCATATTTACATATAATTTAAGAGTTTCAGTTTTCTTTTTGTGGTGGAACCGGGTATTGAACGCAGGTCCTTGCGCTTGCCAGGGAATGGAGTTTCAGTTTTCTTAGTGAATCTGCTGAGCATAATTTAACATCTAATTACTTAGGATCTTAAAGTACTTTAGGGTAAAGGAACATTATTTTTGACCAAAACTATACATGTAGAGAGTAACATTGATTACACTCATTGAGAGTAATACCTTAGCTTGAAAGTTGGTTTTGGGGGGAAATCCAGGATTTTCGTGGTCTCTCTCTTACCTTCTTTCTGTCCTCTACTTTCTTCCCCATCTTCTTTCTTCTCTCCCTCCTACCTCCTCTCCTTCAAAAAAGTAGAGTGAAGAGCTAAATCTAGTGAGTTGAATTTTTTTTTTTTTTTGTACTGGGAATCAAACTCATGACCTTGCACTTGCCAGGCAGACACTGTGTCACTGAGCTATATCCCAGGCCAGTCAGTTGAATTTTGATGAATTAAACTTTTGTCACACATGAGGGTAGTCATAAGCTTAAGTAGATGCCATAATAAAACTTTTAAGGCCAGAACTGCAAAAAGACTTGCTTATCCTGTGTTGTGCTTTTGCTAAGCCAAGCAATAATTAGAGCTAGGCATATATGAATATTTTTTAACTTAATATGTTTTTAAAATTCATGGCTTTACCTTGAACATCTGTTATACTCTGTCAGTATAGTTGTTTTATAATATGATGTGGTGTTTGTTTGTTTGTGTTTTTTTTGCTACCAATAATCAAATTCAGGGCCTTGGGCTTGTCAGGTAGGTGCTATGCCACTGAGCTATATCCCTGGCCCAATAGTACAGTTGTTTTAAGTGTTTAAATTTTTTATACGTTTATGCTGCTTCCTTTTTGTCCCCTCAGTCCCAGCCCTTGGTGGTTAACTTGTAGAAGACTTGACAGTGAAGGGAAACATACACACATGTAAGTGTGTGTGTGTGTGTGTGTGTGTGTCCAGCTGATGCTACTGGACAGCTCCCCTACTCCAGAGTCCTCAAGGAAGCAGAACTAAAGGCCTAGAGAAAAAGTCTGAAACAATTGTCCATGTCCTTCATACTCCTTTCCTTTCTTGTATTCTTTTTGGAGCAAACAAAATTTCTTTCTTTCTTTCTTTTCTTTTTTTCTTTTTTTTTGACGGAGCTGGGGATTGAACTCAGGCCCTTGCACTTGTCAGGCAATCACTTATTCATTCTACTGAGCCATCTCCCTGGCCCCCAAAAGTTCATCTAAAATAATACACTTCATGACTTACCTACAACATTTTTCTCAGTACTTGTTTTGAGCTCTTTGGCCTTCTGAAGAATGGCTGTTATTTATTTATTTATTTGTGTGTGTGTGTGTGTGTGTGTGTGTGTGTGTGTGTGTGGCCAGCTCAGCCCACCAGGGGGCGGGGCTGGCTGGCATGTGGTGCTGGGGGATTGAACCTTGGTTCCTGTGCTTTGCTAAGCTTGTTCTAAGAAGGTGCTTTAGACCACTGAGCCATCTCACCAGCCCAGGAATGGCTGTTATTTAGAAGAAGTATATTTACTCAACAGTGGAAATGTGACAAATATCTAGGCAGCAGGAGAATGATGATCACCACTGAAATTGTGTATTTTGAGAAATTTTTTTGTGGCTTAGGCTGCCTTAGGGGTGGGTCTGGTAAGGCAGGTGGAGCTGGGGATTGAACCTCGGTATCCTGTGCCTGACTTCGTTTGCATGAGCAGGTGCTTAAACAACTGAGCTAACTAGCAGGCCCCTGAAATTGTGTATTTTTAAAATCTGTCTTAGCTGTTTTTCCTCCTGCCAAATGAAAAACATGTGAAAAGTTTTGTGCAGTCTGCCTCCATGGCTGGCGTAGTGCCAAAGGCATGTGAGTAGAGGCTTTAGTCAAACACTCATCACTTCTCCCTAGCACTTGAGTGGGCTTCTCCACCAGGCCACCCATTAGCTCTTAGCTTGCTGCCCCTTCCTAAGAGCTAGTGGCCAGATTAGCCTCAGTAACAGTAAGAGTGTAGTTCTCAGGTTTTAGAAAATGCTCATATGTAATGAGCATTAAGCTTCAGTTTTTAGAAAATGCTGATATATAAATCATTCTTTCTATACACAGTTCTTTGCTTTTTAACATTATGAACTTTATTATTCAGAAAATAAAAGAAAGATGCAATGGTTTTATGCCTTTCAAATGCCTTTACATTTTTTCCTAACCTGAACGCTGACAGTTTTTTAACCTTTTAGGAAATATGATTTTGCTTAATGTTTTTTATACCTATACTATTAAGAGTTTGAAATTCTGCCAGATATACTGCATGTTGTTAATCTTAAGGATGTTCTTGAGTCTAAATAAGAGGACTAAAATAAAAATATTTTAAAGAGGGCGGGGGAGATGGCTCAGTGGAATAAGCGCTTCCCTGGCAAGTGCAAGGGCTTGAGTTCAATCCCCAGTTCCGCAAAAAAAAAAAAAAGAAGGAATATTTAGAATAGTATAATTAAGTTGCTCCTTTAACACAATTTTTCCTGTTCAATCAGTCTTACTGCTGAGCACAGTGATGCACACCTGCAGTTCTAGCTGCTTGGGAGGCTGAGGCAGGAGGGTCACAAACTGTAGGTCAATGTGGGCAACTTAGTGAGACCCAGTTGAATAAAATTAAAAGGCTGGGGACTTGAACAAGATGAAATGCGCCTGTATAATCTCAGCATCTGGGAGGCTGAGGCAGGATGATCACCATGAATTCAAGGTCAGCCCGGGCTACATGAGTGAGTCCAAGGCGAGCTGGCACTATGTAGCAAGACCTTGTCTCAAAAACAAAACAAAAATCCCGAAAAGGATAGGGTTGTAGTCAGTGCAGCAACTCTGGGTTAAATTTCCTGTACCTTCCCTTTCCCTACTCCCTCAAAAAGGAAAAAAGAAAAACCAAAACAATAGTAGGCTTGTGGTGTATGGCAAAATTTACTTCTTTTTTTTTTTTTTTTTTTTGCGGAACCGGGATTGAACTCAGGCCCTTGCACTTGCCAGAAAGCATTTATTCCACTGAGCCATCTCCCCAGCCCCTTTTTGTTTAAATTATTTTTTAGGGAAGGGTCTACAGTGGGTTTAGGGTCTCACTACTAGACTGGACTCATAGTGATCCGACTGTTTACAGAGCTAGGATTATTGGCACGTGGTCACCACGCCCAGTCTCAATTGCCATCTCTGTGTGCCCCGGGAGTGGGGCCAGCACAGCAGGCCTGGGGATCAAACCCTTGTACCTGCTTGCAGGTGTTTTAATCTGCTGAGCTATTTGGCTGGCCCTAAAAATTACTTCTTATCAACCTACAAAAAACATCTAGTGGGGCAGGGGATATGGCTCAGTGGAATAAGTGCTTCCCTGGCAAGCACAAGGGTCTGAGTTCAATCCCCGGTTCCGCCAGAA